GTTTCCTCCTGTAGTAACACTGGATCAATAAGAGATGATCCTTACTGGACCTCTAGGAAGAACAGTTTAGAACTGATAGAGCTATCCAGTATAAATAAAGTTAGTTTAGTTTGGGTTTCCTCCTGTAGTAACACTGGATCAATAAGAGATGATCCTTACTGGACCTCTAGGAAGAACAGTTTAGAACTGATAGAGATATCCAGTATAAATAAAGTTAGTTTAGTTTAGGTTTCCTCCTGTAGTAACACTGGATCAATAAGAGATGATCCTTACTGGACCTCTAGGAAGAACAGTTTAGAACTGATAAAGCTATCCAGTATAAATAAAGTTAGTTTAGTTTAGGTTTCCTCCTGCAGTAACACTGGATCAATAAGAGATGATCCTTACTGGACCTCTAGGAAGAACAGTTTAGAACTGATAAAGCTATCCAGTATAAATAAAGTTAGTTTAGTTTAGGTTTCCTCCTGTAGTAACACTGGATCAATAAGAGATGATCCTTACTGGACCTCTAGGAAGAACAGTTTAGAACTGATAGAGCTATCCAGTATAAATAAAGTTAGTTTAGTTTAGGTTTCCTGCTGTAGTAACACTGGATCAATAAGAGATGATCCTTACTGGACCTCTAGGGAGAACAGTTTAGAACTGATAGAGCTATCCAGTATAAATAAAGTTAGTTTAGTTTAGGTTTCCTCCTGTAGTAACACTGGACCAATAAGAGATGATCCTTACTGGACCTCTAGGGAGAACAGTTTAGAACTGATAGAGCTATCCAGTATAAATAAAGTTAGTTTAGTTTAGGTTTCCTCCTGTAGTAACACTGGATCAATAAGAGATGATCCTTACTGAACCTCTAGGAAGAACAGTTTAGAACTGATAGAGCTATCCAGTATAAATAAAGTTGGTTTAGTTTAGGTTTCCTCCTGTAGTAACACTGGATCAATAAGAGATGATTCTTTCTGTGTCTCTAGGAAGAACAGTTTAGAACTGATATAGAGCTATCCAGTATAAATAAAGTTAGTTTAGTTTAGGTTTCCTCCTGTAGTAACACTGGATCAATAAGAGATGATCCTTACTGGACCTCTAGGAAGAATAGTTTAGAACTGATAGAGCTATCCAGTATAAATAAAGTTCGTTGGGTTTGGTTTTATTTTTAGGAAAAGAGAAGAAAGACATTGTAAAAAGGTCCTCGACAACTCGGTTAAAACTTGGCGAAGCTTTGGTACGCGCCGTGAAGCGATGCGGCGATCTTGTTCCACGTTATTTCCAAATTTTAATCCGCGCATTTCTCGTGGGAGTTCAAGACAAGGATAGTTTCATTCGAGCAAGCAGTCTGTCAAGCCTTGGCGAGATGTGTCGCTTGTCACCACGGACATTACCAACAGTCGTTCACGAGGTAAACTCAGGACCTGATTGTTGGCATAACCATTAAAGGGTTTCATTGAAGGCCACTCTAAGGGGACTCTGATGCTGTAGATTGTTATGTTGAAATAAGGTGTTATGTCTGTTTTAGGTGTTTCATTGCATTAATACAGTTTTAAGATCGGACGAGGCGAGCCAGGTTCGTCAAGCGGCTGTTTTGGTCATTACCCTTGTTTTGAAAGGCCTGGGTCAGAATACAATTGCGGTAAGCTATCCAGTATAAATAAAGTTAGTTTAGTTTAGGTTTCCTCCTGTAGTAACACTGGATCAATAAGAGATGATCCTTACTGGACCTCTAGGAAGAACAGTTTAGAACTGATAGAGCTATCCAGTATAAATAAAGTTAGTTTAGTTTATGTTTCCTCCTGTAGTAACACTGGATCAATAAGAGATGATCCTTACTGGACCTCTAGGAAGAACAGTTTAGAAATGATAGAGCTATCCAGAAAAAATAAAGTTAGTTTAGTTTAGGTTTCCTCCTGTAGTAACACTGGATCAATAAGAGATGATCCTTACTGGACCTCTAGGAAAAACAGTTTAGAACTGATAGAGCTATCCAGTATAAATAAAGTTTGTTTAGTTTAGGTTTCCTCCTGTAGTAACACTGGATCAATAAGAGATGATCCTTACTGGACCTCTAGGAAGAACAGTTTAGAACTGATAGAGCTATCCAGTATAAATAAAGTTAGTTTAGTTTAGGTTTCCTCCTGTAGTAACACTGGATTGGTAAGAGACGATCCTTACTGGACCTCTAGGAAGAACAGTTTAGAACTGATAGAGCTATCCAGTATAAATAAAGTTAGTTTAGTTTAGGTTTCCTCCTGTAGTAACACAGAATTAATAAGAGATGACCCTTACTGGACCTCTAGGAAGAACAGTTTAGAACTGAGTTAGTTTAGTGTAGCGTCTATCAAAGTTACTATCGTTTACAAAAATTAACTTCTTCCTCGCTAGGTCTTATCCGACAAGCTGAAAGACATTTACCAACTTTTGAAATTTGTTGAATCTAACGACCAAGATGAGACCACGCGTATTCATGCACAGGTTGCCCTAGGAGGATTGGAAACAATCATGAGAGAACAGTTGTTCCCAGAACAAAGGCTTGTTAAACATATCAGTGTTTTGCGATGATGTTATAATTATTAAAATTTGAATTTTATTACAAAATCATCATCAGAGTTAGTCTGATGATGATTTTGTAATAAAATCGAAATATTACTCACTCACTTTCTTGTTTGACTCATATTTTGGGTTTCAAGATGCTTATCTTCGGATTATGTTTTGTATTATATTCATGCAATATTCTGTTAGTTCTCAAATGAATTAGTATTTAGAAATTGATTGCGATAATTTCTGGACATTTATACCGTGATATCAATTAGGCAACGATACAGGGCTGATTTCATTTGGTTTTCCTCATGAATTATTAATGAGTTTGCCATGCAATTTTAATGCCTCGTATTCGTTTATACGTACATGTTTTTTTTTTAAATATTGGAAAATGCACAAGTAGAAAACATTATCTGGCCCCTTATATTTGGACTAATTAAGATCACAGTGCGAGACTAAATTCTCATCACTCCAATTTATTGAATTTAATAAATAAGCAATGCCAAATGTTCTACATGGCATGGGTTCTGTTCGGCCGTTTATTTCGTACTACTACCAATAAGGCGTAATCGTTTCTTGCCTTTGAAGCTAGTACTGCGAATTAATTGAAAACAGTCCTTCATAGACGATGTGGAAAAGGACTCATTCAAAGACTAAGCCTTAGTTTTGAAATGTTGCGCAACAGAGCCCCTTTAACCTAATTTCGCCCGTCCGTAAACCAATAACTTCTCGTCTGCACGTAACCACGGTTATGTAACGAACTATTTAATCAAATATATTAATAAAACAACCCAAGTAAGTCGCAATATTAGTGTCAAACAATTCCGGCTTTACGTTATTGCTTATGAATATTTTAATATTTGAGACTATTTTCTGCACGAAGAGCAATTACTATTTTGTGACGAATTGTTCCAGCAGCTTAACGCATCGCCATTAGTCAAGAAGGTAATCAGTATATTAAGACTGTTTTGCATGCCTTTTTTATTTTTAGTAGATAGAATCTTGAACAGTGGCCGTGTTGTTAGCGAAGATTGCCGAAGAGTACAATTTGGAGGCTTCTGTGTACGATGCTGAAAAGTAAAAGCAAACTTGAACAATTTAGCGAAGGGCTTTCGGCTAGATTTTGCCAGATGTATACGGCAAAACATCGAAGTTTGGTGTGTTTTAGCAGAGCTTCGCCTTCAGTGACTCAGTCAGGGAAAGCGCCTTTCAACTCTGAGTTTGTGGGTTTGATTCTCGCTACGGACTCATGTGAAAAGAGTGAGTCAACGCTCTGTCGAAAGTCGTGGGTTTTCTCCCGATGCTCTGGTGTCCTCCCACAGGGAAAGTTGACAGGGTGGGTTGGGATTATCCCCCAAACTGACCCTTCTACCGTAACTGTACTCCCTGATCAGACATGAGTCATAAGGTGGTTGTCAGAGGCGCCCTTGGAAAGCCTTCGACTCGGTCAGGTTCAGTTCCATCCTTCGCAAATCAGCCCAGCTCTCAGCTGCAAGCAATGATTAGCACACGCCACTTACTTTTCGAGTATTTGCATCACACACCGAAGCCGCGGTTTTTTACTTTCATCTGTATCAGACATTTGCCTTAATTAATTGTTTTTCTAAAATAAATATTTAGCAATTGGCAATTCTTTCCGATTGCTCAAAGTCATCGGTTTTCTAGTAAAATAAGTATGTTTGCTTTGGGATCTGTCATATGCTTGGCCGCGCGTTAGAAAAATGATAATTCCACGTAAAGCTAAAAAACATACATGGTGAATAATTTTAGTTACTTTTATTAAAATTGTCCCCCTAAAGTATTAATCTTCTTTAAGTAATGTGAGTCCTTAAATATTTTATGAGTAAACATTATGATATATGTTTTATTTCTTCAATTATCCACAGTTATTATACTTACTATTGCAAACACCTGTGTCTTTTAATTGCTGAAATTTCAAAAGTCCTTTGGTCAACGGTTGGATGTCCATTGTTTATAAGGCAAGTGAAAGGTTTATTTTAGTAAACCTAAATAGCATTTTCTACTACGGCTTGTGTCAAAAGGCATCGGAGTAAATGAGATTAGACAAGCGAGAGTTTGCATGAGAGTTTCCTCAACTTTCAATGCTTAATTAGTACTTCTAAAATATTGCACAACTTCTAATATATCATTATTGGCATTTTCTTCAGTTTAAAGCTTAAAAGATTCCACACGAGAAATGCAGTTCCACTTCGCATGGATAGAAATTTTTTTCCTTGCTAATTTGTTATTGTCTCTAGAAGGTAAGAAAATTAGTTATTCGACTTTTTTTACTGGCCATATATCTTGAATGTGCCAAAACGGTGATTGTATATAATTTACCCTATTGTTAAGAGGATCCATTCAACGGCAAACTGCTCTTTCTAAGCTACCGTGGTTTGTGTTTCTTATTAACTTTTATCATTTTCAGTTCAAACACAAACGACGGCAACTTATTACGGATTATTCCTCGTTTGAGATGATTTAGCTTGTCTGTTATTTCTCTTTTTGTCTTTTTTATATAGCTTGCACTCCTGAACCCCCTGCAGGTAAGGTCTAAAACTTTTGATGCTTCTTCGCTTAGCTCATCATACAAGTCAGTTAATGGCCAGTTGGCATGACTCTATACAGGCACGTTTCTTCAGGCACTCCCGTTTCTTCCTGTGGTAACACTGGATCAATAAGAGATGATCCTTACTGGACCTCTAGGAAGAACAGCTTAGAACTGATAGAGCTATCCAGTATAAATAAAGTTAGTTTAGTTTAGGTTTCCTCCTGTAGTAACACTGGATCAATAAGAGATGATCCTTACTGGACCTCTAGGAAGAACAGTTTAGAAATGATAGAACTATCCAGTATAAATAAAGTTAGTTTAGTTTAGGTTTCCTCCTGTAGTAACACTGGATCAATAAGAGATGACCCTTACTGGACCTCTAGGAAGAACAGTGTAGAACTGATAGAGCTATCCAGCATAAATAAAGTTAGTTTAGTTTAGGTTTCCTCCTGTAGTAACACTGGATCAATAAGAGATGATCCTTACTGGACCTCTAGGAAGAACAGTTTAGAACTGATAGAGCTATCCAGTATAAATAAAGTTAGTTTAGTTTAGGTTTCCTCCTGTAGTAACACTGGATCAATAAGAGATGATCCTTATTGGACCTCTAGGAAGAACAGTTTAGAACTGATAGAGTTATCCAGTATAAATAAAGTTAGTTTAGTTTAGGTTTCCTCATGTAGTAACACTGGATCAATAAGAGATGATCCTTACTGGACCTCTGGGGAGGACAGTTTAGAACTGATAGAGTTATCCAGTATAAATAAAGTTAGTTTAGTTTAGGTTTCCTCCTGTAGTAACACTGGATCAATAAGAGATGATCCTTACTGGACCTCTGGGGAGGACAGTTTAGAACTGATAGAGTTATCCAGTATAAATAAAGTTAGTTTAGTTTAGGTTTCCTGCTGTAGTAACACTGGATCAATAAGAGATGATCCTTACTGGACCTCTTGGAAGAACAGTTTAGAACTGATAGAGTTATCCAGTATAAATAAAGTTAGTTTAGTTTAGGTTTCCTCCCGTAGTAACACTGAACCAATAAGAGATGACTCTTACTGGACTTCTAGGAAGAACAGTTTAGAACTGATAAAGCTATCCAGTATAAATAAACAATTAGTAAGGTTAGGTGAACGAACTATTAGCCATTAACCACATTTTTATTGTTATAGCACCAACTCCTAAAGAAAACAGAGGTAATACATCTATTTTTGCGAGAGCATTCCTTTTTTTGGAATAACGTTTATTTTAAGAATATTTTTTTACTAAGCCTTAGTTTTCTATTAAATTTGTATTTCACTTCCTCACAGGTAATCCGGACTGTAATTTTACGACCGGAGTCTGTAATTGGAAGAATCTTAAAGAGGTAAATTCACCAACCAAACTCAACTGGATCATTGTGAATGAGAGTGCTGACCCTAACTTGTTACCTCAGCGTGGTAAGTAGCACTGCGGGCAGTATTTCAATACATCTTAACATTGGGAAGCAATGTGACAGATGTGGATAGAGCTTCTGACTGACTCTTTCACCGTAGCTGTGCACCGTGATCTGACATGAGTCATAAGGTGTCTACCAGAGGCGCCCTTAGAAAGCCTTCGACTGGATCAGGTTGAGCTGCGTCCTTCGCTGCTTAGCTCTCAGCTGTAAGTAAGGATGATTGTCTCTTTCTTATTGAAATAGGTTCAGAGCCTGGCTATGCGTGGCTTGACTATCTCGATCCTTATAACTACTTTGAGAATCAGCGTGGTCGGTTGGAGAGTCCTCTTATCACTGGACCAAGGTGTATGACGTTTTACTTTTACCTCCATGGTAACCGCACTGGCTTTTTGAATATCGAGACTAAGCAAGGAATCAAAGATCCTAAATTAATATTCAGTCGCTATGGTAACCATGGGATGACGTGGCAACGGGCTCAAGTTTATATTAATATCACTGGAGACTACAAGGTGACGTATTTCTAAATTTAGACATAAACTAAACTAACTTTATACTGGATAGCTCTCTCGATTCTAAACTGTTCTCCCTGGAGGTCCAGTAAGGTTCATCTCTTATTGATCCAGTGTTACTACAGGAGGAAATCTAAACTAAAACTAACTTTATTTATACTGGATAACTCTATCAGTTCTAAACTGTTCTCCCTAGAGGCCTAGTAAGGATCATCTCTTATTGATCCAGTGTTACTACAGGAGGAAACCTAAACTAAACTAACTTTATTTATACTGGATAGCTCTATCAGTTCTAAACTGTTCTTCCTAGAGGTCCAGTAAGAATCATCTCTTATTGATCCAGTGTTACTACAGGAGGAAACCTAAGTGGATAGCTCTACCAGTTCTACATCGTTCTTCTTAGAGGTCCAGTAAAAGTGCAAAGGTTATTTGAGGTGAAATTATAATGAGACAACTGCATATTGTACGAAACAAACCTCAGTCACAGAGGTGACAGAGACATACTCTAACCACTCTGACATGTACTGATGACTGAGTGGGGCGGATAAAACAGTTAAAGAGGCTTTAGTAATCTCTATTTGGTCTGAAACAGGTCGTCATCACAGGGACTGTTGGAGATCACGCAACACGACATGCTCCGGGACTTGACGACATCACTTTCCGCAATCAAACATGTGATCAGGAATCTACAGGTATTATTATTATGTTATGGTTGGGATTTAGATTAAGGTAAGGATTAGGATTGGGGTTAATGCTATAGTTTCTGATCAGAATGAGGGTATTTTTGTATTCTTTTTGTAGAAGCAAAATTTAACTGTTCAATGCGAAATCATCGCTGCAGCTGGCAAGATAAAGGATCGTTGCTGCCTATGAAAGCGGAGTATAATCAAGGTACATCTTTAAGATGTTGGTGTCACAGTATTTAGTGAATGTTTCTTTCATTTCTGTGACCGAGATTTAATTTCACCTCAGTCACATGTGAGAAGAGTGCTTCCCGTTTGACTCTACAAAACACCACAAGTTTACTTTTCCTCGAATTCTCTAGTATCCTTTTGTAGTATAATTGTACAGGATCTTTATTGGAACACTGTAGAGATGATTAAGCTATTCACAAAGCTAGTTTAGTTTAAACTTAATTTAGCGTAGTTTAGCTTTCCACGTATAGCTCAACTCCAACATATAATATAAGAAAGATCTTTTTCTATTTTAGATTTGAAGAGATATGTCCTGAAAGCCATGGGATTCGGCCAACTCGATAAATTTTACCTCAGAAGTCCTTCAGTTCATTTCGAAAAAGCTTGCTTTCACTTCAGTTATTTAGCTGACGTTAAACCGTGGGAATTAGATTTCCTTGGACGATTGTTTCTTTTTGTTGAGAGGTTGAATGATGGCGAGAGGTTTCCTGTTTGGAGTCAGAATGTTTATTACGGAGCCGAGTGGAACGATATTTATGTCGAAATTGTGCTGCCTTTTAGTGAATATAACGTAAGTTCTATCTGTTCTAAATTGTTCTTCCTAGTGGTCCAATAAGGATCATCTCTTATTGATCCAGTGTTACTACAGAAGGAAACCTACACAAAACTAACTTTATTTATACTGGATAGCTCTATCAGTTCTAAACTGTTCTCTCTAGAGGTCCAATAAGGATCATCTCTTATTGATCCAGTGTTACTACAGGAGGAGACCTAAACTAAACTAACTTTATTTATACTGGATAACTCTATCAGTTCTAAACTGTTCTTCCTAGAGGTCCAGTAAGGATCATCTCTTATTGATCCAGTGTTACTACAGGAGGAAACCTAAACTAAACTAACTGTATTTATACTGGATAGCTCTATCAGTTCTAAACTGTTCTTCCTAGAGGTCCAGTAAGGATCATCTCTTATTGATCCAGTGTTACTACAGGAGGAAACCTAAACTAACTTTATTTATACTGGATTGCTCTATCAGTTCTAAACTGTTCTTCCTAGAGGTCCAGTAAGGATCATCTCTTATTGATCCAGTGTTACTACAGGAGGAAACCTTCACTAAACTTACTTTATTTATACTGGATAGCTCTATCAGTTCTAAACTGTTTTCCTAGAGGTCCAGTAGGGGCCATCTCTAATTGGCTATCCACAATGGTCCAATTTTTTTTCTTTCTTTAGTTCATCGTTGAAGGCCTGAAAATATCTACAGATTTTTTATTCCGTGATTTTTCGCTTTCTTCAAGTTATGAAAATTGTCCAACCTCAGGTAATATATAACTAGTATATTTATTAATACTTACTCGACCTGTAGTAAATATTTTCTTTTTTTTTCTTACTCAAGCCGAGAAAAAGCTTTACATAACCCAGAATCCAAGCCAACCACAGAAACTATCAATTTCTGAACAATCCGGGTTCTGTGGCTCGTTTCCTAATTGGTATTTGATAACTGCCGTGGTACCGAGTCTCATATTTCCTCAAACTATATACGTCTACTCTATAAACGACTTCCTTATATTGAACACTGACCGCAATGATACACTGTATGGTGAGTTGCTACGTTACTTTTATGTTGGCAATGACAACCGGTTCAACCAATCACAAGTCGTATATACAGTATTGCAGGATGGAGATGGGTTTGCCTATGTTACGGAGTTCCTACCCAGGCCTATTCTCAACAGCACGGATTATGGTTTCTTTGTAAAAGAATTTGTCCGCATTGAAGGTAGGTATGGCATCATAGGGTGACGTCATCTCGGGCTGACGTCATGTAAGGATCAAGTATAAATAAAGTGAGTTTAGTTTAGTTTCCTCCTGTAGAAACACTGGATCAATAAGAGATGATCCTTACTGGACCTCTAGGAAGAACAGTGTAGAACTAATAGAGCTATCCAGTATAAATAAAGTTAGTTTAGTTTAGGTTTCCTTCTGTAGTAACACTGGATCAATAAGAGATGATCTTCGCTGGACCTCTAGCGAGACCAGTTTAGAGCTGACAGAGCTATTTAGGTTTAGCTATCTAAAATTGAACTAATGTATCATCAATCGTCGTTCTAGATGAGAGCAAATGTGAACACGGATGGACAGAATTAGCAGGAAAATGCTACAAGTTGTTTTGTGAAAAGAAAATGTGGAACGATGCTAGAATAGATTGCTTCAAGAACGAGGCTGACCTAGCTTCGTTATCAAATAACAAACTGAATATCGCTAAAGAATATTTGGAGCGAGTACAAGTCCGTCTTCTCGGGGCAGGTACCGTGTCGGTAGGCTTGTTTAAGATCGGTCAGGAGTGGAAGTGGATTGATGGGGAAAGCTATAATGGTAGTTTCGCGTCAACGAGAGTTGCAAAAGGTCGTTTAGCTTGGAGTAACGAAGAGAATGATTGGATTTTGAAAGCAGCCCAACACCCCGTGTATCAAGATGTTGAAGGAACCTCAGATTTATATTTCTGTGAAAAAATGCGAGGTGAGTCTTTATTACTTAGTTCATTCGTGAATTTGTTTGTTTGTTTGTTTGTTTGTTTGTTTGTTTGTTTGTTTGTTTGTTTGTTTGTTTGTTTGTTTGTTTGTTTGTTTGTTTGTTTGTTGGTTTGTTTGTTTGTTTGTTTGTTTGTTTGTTTGTTTGTTTGTTGGTTTGTTGGTTTGTTTGTTTGTTGGTTTGTTTGTTTGTTTGTTTGTTTGTTTGTTTGTTTGTTTGTTTGTTTGTTTGTTTGTTTGTTTGTTTGTTTGTTTGTCCAAATTATTTTTCTGTTTCACTGTAGAAAACGTAGCTTATCACAAGTTGGTAAACCACTCCAGAGCGAGATCAGATTCCAGAACTCTTGTCGATGGTGATGACGAGACATGCATCACCATTGAAAAGGTTTGTCATAATATCTCGTTAATATCATCTATTTGCATTGTCCATAGTGTATGCCTGTCACCTCTGAGAGAGGGGTTCGGTTCTTGCAATATACAGTTGTCTGATTATAATTTCACCTCAATCGCATGTGAGAAGAGTGCTTCCAGTTTGACTCTATTTAACACTACGCAAGCTGGTTTTCTTTGTGTATTTTCATTCATTTTCCTCTTGTTGTAAGACATGATCCTTACTGGACCTCTAGGGAGAACAGTTTAGAATTGATAGAGCTATCCAGTATAAATAAAGTTAGTTTAGTTTAGGTTTCCTCCTGTACAGTAACACTGGATCAATA